ATCATGGCTCAGCACTTCTCTAAGGTAAGGGCAACCCCCTTACCTAGGAATCATGGCTCAGCACTTCTCTAAGGTAATGACAACCCCCTACCTCGGAATCATGGCTCAGCACTTCTTTAAGGTAAGGACAACCCCTTACCTAGGGATCATGGCTCAGCACTTCTCTAAGGTAAGGACAACCCCTTACCTCGGAATCATGGCTCAGCACTTCTTTAAGGTAAGGACAACCATTTACCTAGGGATCATGGCTCAGCACTTCTTTAAGGTAAGGACAACCCCCTTACCTCGGGGTCATGACTCAGCACTTCTTTAAGGTAAGGACAACCCTTTACCTCGGGATCATGGCTCAGCACTTCTCTAAGGTAAGGACAACCCCCTACCTCGGGATCATGGCTCAACATTTCTCTAAGGTAAGGACAACCCCCTACCTTATGACCTTATAATGAGTTCGGGACTTCCTAGCCTCCGGTCACGCTGATGCGCCGCCTTCGTCGTCCTCCGTCTCCGAGTCGTCGCTAGGCAGGTCACCCCGCCCTCGGATCCCGGATGTAACGTTGGACGTGTTCCGTCTATTTGACCTCCTTTGGGCCAGCTGATGCAAGATGCTGTTGCTTGTCACTTGCTGAGGGTAGTTTCCCATTACTGGACAATCCGGGATCTTCCTCAGCCACTTGTCCAGTCGTCTCTTGAATGTTTCAAGGGTGAACTCCCCTCCTCTCAGGGCTTTTGGCAAGGCATTAAAGAGCCTTGGTCCTACCGCGGCTAGTGACCCCTCACGAAGAGTCTGTACTCTGGCCGTGGCACGGTTATTAAATGGGGGAACCTCGCACCGTCTCCCTCGTCTCCTCTCATTGTAACGTATCACTATTCTAGAGGTCTCACTCTCAAAGTTGGGAACCAGTCCGGTTATCATCTTCCAAGTGTACAGCATAATATACCTTTCTCTTCTCCTCTCCAGTGAGTACAGCGTCAGGTGTTTCAGCCCCAGTAGTTCAGGTTCAGCTCCCTCATGCCGCTGATCCCGTACGTGAAGGTCCGCTGCACTGCCTCCAGTTTCCGCACCGCACCCGCCTTGTGTTGTGACCAAAATTGGTAGCAATACTCAAGATTGGGGAGCACGGGGGCTCTGAGGAGTGTAATGTGAAGAGTGAAGAGTGAAAAGGCTCCAACTCTCTACCGCCTGGCAGCTCCTGGGGAACTTCAATTTCATTCTCCTCCCTTGAGTAGCGGGGGTTACTGAACACATTCAAACTGTGATCCCAGTAACTCACACATGCCATGGTCATCTTCGACAATGACTTCGTTATCCTTAAGCGGCCCTACTGGCTTCTTTATTTTAGCCTTGGACTGAGCGTATTTAAAAAAAATACTTGAGGTTCTCTTTGATGACCTCGGGGTCATGGCTCAATACTTCTCTAAGGTAGGGACAACCCCCTTACCTCGGGATCATGGCTCAACACTTCTCTAAGGTAAGGACAACCCCCTTACCTCGGGATCATGGCTCAACACTTCTCTAAGGTAAGGGCAACCCCCTTACCTAGGGATCATGGCTCAACACTTCTCTAAGGTAAGGAACAACCCCCTTACCTCGGGATCATGGCTCAGCACTTCTCTAAGGTAAGGGCAACCACCTGCCTCGGGGTCATATTTATCATGCAATTCTCACGAATGCTTAGTTAAAAGAAACAAATTCACGTGATGTTTTAAAAAAAATCTCAGATTATGTTTATTGATCGCCTTGTGCGAAGGTTAGAATGGCAAAACAAATATCAACTATCGCTTCGGTGACGTTCATACAAACGATATAGTTTAGTATATTCGGCATTGAAGAATAGGCCTGGATAGGCCTGTCGCCGGTTCTTGTACTTTTCTTGACTAGACTGGCCTTTTGATCAAATATTTTCAACGGACGGTAGATGTTAATTCGCTTCTAGATTTAAGTTGTTCCGTAGGATACCAGGCATTTCAAGACTAAACATATGCTTCTGCATGGCCTTGTCTAGTCTGTTCTTGAACGCGTTCATACTCGGAGCGTCAACAATATCTTCAGGGAGGCTGTCTCACATGCCGGTGACTCGAAGCGAGAATAAATGTTGTCGCATGGATGTGTTACAACGCAGTTTTTTTAGTTTATAGCTGTGCCCCTTGGTGTTGGTTCTTGTTTCATGTGTCTAACGTGCCCATGTTTAATCATATTGTTAATTTAACTTTAATCATTGGAACATCATTGTGTTCGGAAGGCGATATTACTAAATAACATCAATCGAAATGAAGTGAGAATGTTTAGGGCGCAAAAACTCGTTATTTCATTGTACCACTTAAATTTGGCATGTTATACTTTTCAAATTTTTCTTGATGATTGATTACTTAATTTACCATGATATAAATTTTTATTTCATGCTGCTCATTTAATCAGTGTATAATTAAAATGTCATATAATTCACGTATAATTAGCAATATTTTGCAGACAGGCAAATGCGGCATGCAGGTCACAACAGAAACGGCTCTTGTGCATCCCATCTCCTATGTGTACAGGAAAAAATTTCCGCTGAGGAAAGAGATCGATAATTTGTGAGTATTGTTAATTAATTAATGCTTCCTTGATTTTGCGTTCACTAAGTAATCCAAATGACGAAAAAAAATTCAAGTATCCTGGTAACATGTGAGATTTTAATCATACTCGAGGAATATCTCGTATGTTTCAATTACTTTAACTCATCATGAATCATGTGGGACTTCACTCATTCATGAATAAAGTCTTTCACGTCTCAATTACTCATCATGAATCATGTGGGACTTCATTCATTCGTGAGTAAAGTCTTGTGCGTCTTAATTACTCGTATTCATCATGTATCATGACTTCACGAGGGACTTCACTCATTCTTGAATCTTGAGCAAAGTCTTGTACGTCTCAATTACTCGCATGTGGGACTTCATTCATTCGTGAGTAAAGTCTTGTGCGTCTTAATTACTCGTATTCATCAATCATCATGTATCATGAGGGACTTCACTCATTCTTGAATCTTGAGCAAAGTCTTGTACGTCTCAATTACTCGTATTCATCATGTATCATGTGGTACTTCACTCATTCATGAGTAAAGTCTTGTACCTCTTAATTACTCGTATTCATTATGTATCATGTGGGACTTCACTCATTCAATAGTAAAGTATTGTACGTCTTAATTACTCATACTCATCATGAATCATGTGGACTTCACTCATTCATGAGTAAAGTCTTGTACGTCTTAATTACTTGTGTTCACCATGTATCATGACTTCACGAGGGACTTCACTCATTCTTGAGTAAAGTCTTGTACGTCTCAATTACTCGTATTCATCATGTATCATGTTGGACTTGACTCATTCATGAGTAAAGTCTCACGTATGTCTTGTTCACTCGTACTGATTGTTCAACTTACGTCACTATTCAAATTTTGCTGGACATAGTGCAACTTTGATTGATTTCTGCAACAAAAGCATAGTACTCAAATTCGATTTAAATTGGTTATAAATCAAAATGAATGCCATTTTTCGAGAATTGTACGTTTCTGGGAATCGGGCATACTTAATATTTACAGCATATGGTATGCTCAGCATAAGTTTTTCAATAGAAAAATCTAATTAATAGTTTTTTAAGGATCGTACGTTTCCGGGAGTCTGGCATACTGAACAAGTTGCTGAAGGACGCCTACGGACCGAATGTGACCGTGTGTGTCAAGCCCGGGGCTCGGGCGAAGAGTGAGGCGGGACTGAGGGCGCTTGCGATAGCTGACTTCTACGGCGTGTTTGCACTTCTTGCTGGCGGTAAGAGAATGATTTGATTCACGCTCTCTCATTTCTTCAGAAATTTAACTTGTCATAGAAATACATGGTCATTTATTACGTGTTTTACCTCATATAGGAAGAATATGTTTAAAATTTTTCCAAAGAACATAAATTACTTTCGAATTTAAATGACAATGTACATCATCAAAGAATTGATTTTACGATGACCTGCTTCTATTGTGTTTCAGGCTTTCTACTGTCAGTCATGGCCTTCGTTTTTGAACATTTGATGAGTCACATCCGACCGTGAAACACTGCACGCATTTCGGCTCAGTCATTATTTGAAAAACAAAGTAATAAGATGAAGGTATATCTTCAAAATTCAGGAATTATAGATTATCAGATGATTAAAAATCATCTGATCACTTACAGTTATACAAATACTGTAATTGTTATGATATAAATTCAAATCAACTATATGTCAATTTGTATGACTATCATTTTTCAATAACCATGAAAACAAAAAGAATAAATTAGTGATAGACCCATATAATTTATAATAGAACTAGAGTATAAATATACAACTTTGTTGTAATTAGTATATATATGTGCACACGTCTATTGCAGTCATAATAATAATAATAATAATAATAATAATAATAATAATAATAATAATAATAATAGCGGTTTCAGCGTTTATTAGGCCGTAGGCCTGTCGCCGTTTAACCGCCCGGCCTCCTTGCCGATTCTGACCAGAAACTGGCGCACAGAGCTGGGATCGAACCCGCGCCTCTCTAGTGCGTCAATCTTGGTACTCAGCACTGGGCCACCCTGCCCTGCCCACCCACATCGCATAACTGATGCAGCAACAAATGAATAAATGACATGTTGTGTTGAAACATTTTCAAGTCAAATATAAGATATTCTGTAAAATATAAATATTTCGCATTGAACTTTACTTCCCTGAACAATTTATGACTATGTATGCCCATTAAAGGTCTTCTACATATAAATTCACAATTAATGAATTCATAATGAAACACTGTTGATATTTGTAGAAAATTGTTGAAATTCCACTTAAAGCTTGAAAATAGAGCTTGCACTTACCCTTGATTAAACATCAGAGATTTAACCCTGTCAAACTTCACTTACAAATCCTGATCAAATATCACTTGTTTGGTCCGATTTCCTGATCGGAGTAACCTAATCAGAGAAGAAGTTTTCCGTATGTTTTCATATCATTGTATGAATCCGTGAAGCTGTGACAGTGAGTGTGTGTTTGACATTAAAATCTTAAAAAGTTAAGGTTGAAAATCGGCCTCTAGGCTTTCGTGTGCGTTCTTATTCTGAGTAAGTATGATTTAACCGTTTAAATTAATCACTTCAGGCAGTTTTGCAATTGACTAGCAGCAGTGAGGTGAAAAAGTTCTCTAAAGTCTAAATTGGTTTTGTAGCTAACAGTAACACTTGTCAACATGGTGGCAATCCATAGGTTATTCAAAAGAACCTGTTCTTATGTCATTTTGAACTCCCCCCCCCGCTGAGCCGGACCGGGCGATGCTCTTGCAAACGCATAAGTACTCACAATAATTCCCTGCCACCATGCTTGTCAAGTTGTCAAACCCGTTCAATTTCACAATTCAATTGAGTTGACCAATGACACACTCAAAGGTCAAAGAGTCTATAGTCTATGCACAGTGCACACTGACTAGTGAGTACTACAGTACCAGTTAACTTAATGCTTAATATTTACTTAAAGTTCATAGGTTACTTTATGGCTTATGCCTGAAGTCTGAACTCATTCAAATGGCATATAGCTACGCCGATATACGGTAATATCACATCAATAATACAGTACCTAGGGTGGTCCTCAAAAAACTTTTTACTTTGAAAATGGGTTTGTCTAAATGCCTAAATGATATCATCAAAATATTTTTTTCAAATTGGTTAATATATAGAGGTCATTCAATGCCGCAATGGTGTCAAAGTTTCACCCATAATCCCCTATGGCTCAGGGTCATTGGGTCCGTAGAGTGAACAAATAAACGGGTCTGAACATGCTTGAACAGTAATTTATTGTCCAGTCCCACCCTGAATGACTTGATTCAATTTCAGAGTGCGTTGTGCAGTGCGTACCTCTGACAGTCAGTCAGTTGTGTTCATCCATGGATTGTTGAAGGTTGAGATAGGCAATGGCGACTGTCACACGTGCAAAGGGGGGATATTCAGCATCTCCTCCCTCGTTGATGGGAGCAAAGCTTCCTTCGTGCTAGGAAGTTCTGGCCGTTGTCCACTTCCAGCATAGCAATGGTGCTACTTACGCTGACGCCTTCAAGGATGTCATCTTTGAAGTCCTCCAGTTCTGTGAACGTGCAAGGATTCCAACGATGCGTCCGGATAACATTTTAACAAAGCTGGAAAAGATCAAGCAAGAATACCATCAAGTCAAGAATAATTGTCACAAGGGAATCCGAGGCCCAGACCAACTGACCAAGGAGTCCGTCTTCAAGGAGGAACTGGAGGGTCTTCAACGTGGCCCACAAGCATGCGCCCTCGATCATGAAAATTGAGGAAGACATTGCCTTCCTTCTCGCTCAGCGGCAACCTGGCTGCCTGGGATACATGGGAGGTATTGATGCCAAACTTGCCTGTAAGGAAGAGCGGAACTGTAAATGGTGGTAAGGGCATGATGATCGCTGTCATTGGGCACAGCAGCTGCCAACGTCAGCTTCTACTGCCATAGACCCAGGCAACTCGTCCTCCACGTCATGCAGCGCTAAAGCGGAGGAGGAGGAATTCCATATGCAACAAGAACAGAGAGTTGTTGGGACAAGCATTAGTCCACCGATGAGGGCAAAGAACGTGATTGCGCCAGGCTTGGCAGCTTCCCTTGACCAAACCAAGGTGAGCGATAGAGGAGCCGTGTTCCTTCTTACCAAAGAGCTCAAGGCTTTGGCCACAAACCAGAAGATGTTAACAATCAACTGCTCCTCACTTCGCCGATATTGGCAAAAGCACCAAGTCATGTATGCCTCACAGCTTAAGGCGGACTTGAAGATGAGCGAGACAGTGGTGGTGCATTGGGAAGAAAAGCTAATGCAGGACCTCACGAACAAGAAGCATGTGGACCATCTACCTGTCTTGGTCAGCGGGAAAGGAGCCGTACAACTCCTCGGTGTTCCCAAGCTCGCCAACGGTACGTGGAGGGTGCGGAGCAATGCCGTTGTTGCGCTTCTGCGGGAGTTGGGGATTGAGGATCGTGTGCTGGTGGTTTTTTGATAGAACGGCATCAAACACCAGGAACATAAATGAACTTATCATCAGCGCAGCATTCCAGGCGGTCATGGGAGGAACAACGGGCGCACTATTGAGGGTTTCAGGCCCAGTGGGAGTTTCTGGAGTTTTGTGAGAGTGCTCAGTAGGAGTTTCGAAATTTCTACACATTAAGAACTCTCCATAAGGAAATCAGAGCGTGATGTAGAAGCCCCTGACCCTGAGCCATAAAGGTCAGAAGAAGGGTATGTGGGGGGGTCTACATGAAGAAGAAGGGTCAATGACCCTGAGCCATAAGGGTAAAACTTTGACACCATTGAGCGACCTCTAAATATTAACTGATTTGAAAAATATTTTAGGCATATTATTTAGGCCTCTGGAGGAACCCGTTTTTGAGGTTGGAACTCATTTTCAAGAAAAAAAGTTTTTTGAGGACCACCCTAATAATACAGTAATATCCCATCAATGGGGGGATTCTGCCCTGTTCATAATGATGGTCAAAGTGGGGTCATAAACAATGGCCAAAGTCACTCTGGCGTTTATGACCTCGTTTACAACCCTGGCGTTTATGACCCCAGCGTTTATGACCCCGTTTTTGTTTGCAAAACAAAATCAAAAATGTGGTGGAAGTCACCCCAGTTGATGGTAATTAATGTTTATGGTTATATCATATCAATAAAGGAAAAACTAGTAAAAATCACAGAAAATGTCATTTATTCTCCCTCTACATCATCTACAATGAAAGAGGAGGACTTCAGAGTACTGTTAGTAATGGATGAGTACACTCTGCATTCTTCAAATATTTTAAAATGAAGTTTATTCCAAGTGTCCCCAGTAGCCCCGTTCGACGGGGCTACTCAGGACACTCTTTTTTTTGCTTCTGGCACCTTACGAATAGCATATGGAGTTTTTTTGACCATGCCATTCCATAGCCCTGACAAAGAGCTATAAAATGAGCCTAAACTTATTTATGGAATGTTTCATCATAAGAAGTTATTAACAGTTATTAACAAAAAAAAAAAAAAAACACTCAAAACTGTCCCGAGTAGCGCCGGTTGATGATACTTTTCCAAATCACACTTTTCATCACACTTTTCACACTTTTTTTCAGCAATTTTTTAGAGATAGTAAATGTTTGATTTCTTGACTAGCTTTATACATAATAGATACGTAGTAAAAATGTTGAAGTTTACGCCACTATTTTTAGTTTTGCAATATTTTGATTAGTTTAGCTGCTACAACATTTCTAAGAAATGTGGGAAGCGTGTCCCTATTTACCCTGCCCATCCCTTTTCACCCTGTTTGATGGTACGTTGAGGTTGTGGCATCATCTTGAACATGAAATTTTAAGATTATCAAGATTCAAATTTCAGATGCAGTAAATGAAAAATAGAATGCCTACTTTATTTATGATATTTAATTCTAGGGGGTTTCTTCCCAAGGCGCATGGATGAGCATTCTTTCAACTATGCTCACAAATTTGATGCAGCACCATACATTGACATTGTGGGTGGCAAACCAGAGCTTTTTTGGATTCAGTTCATTTTTAATTTCCTCAATAACTCAAGATTTAAACCAATTTCTCAAGTATGATGATGGTAGGCTACCTGGTATCCATGATACTTTACTTTGAAATAGGTATGTGCACAAACAACGTACAAATCACAACAAACCAAGTAAAATGGCGGACCTCAGACCAGCAGTTTTCGTTAGAACCCGCGGAAGACATTTAGTTCTGCAAGTCCCGTCTGACCAAAACCATTATTCGACCGGCTCATGCTTGGAAGCGAACAAAAAAAACTTTAATTATGACAATGCCATCTCATTTTTCAATAAATCAGCGTAGTTTACTTAATTAGCGGGCATTCACAAAGGGTGCCATTTTGTGTTAAAAATAAAATGTGATATCGTATTACAAAATCAGGGTTGGCGATTTTTTTGATTTTAAAAAAAAAATCAAAAAAATCAAAAATCAATGATTTTTTTTATTTTTTCATGATTTTTTTATTTATTTGATTTTTTTGATTTTTTCAGCTTTTTTGTATTTTTGAGGTGTTATCTTTTATGCTGTCTCTTATACACATCTAGATGTGTATAAGAGACAGAATATATAGAGGTCATAATAAATTCAGACCTCATAATCACTTCTAGTAACATAAATAATCAAAATTGGATTTCATGAACTTTTCATCGAATCCTAAGACGAGGGAACGGAATCTTCTTTACCTATTCTAATTGGTTTATACCTGCGGTGTAGACCTAATTTATACATTTCAGTTGTCTTTTTCTGTACATGATAAATGCCTGTACCCTCATTTCTCTTGCGTTTTCATGTATCAATAGGTATTTATTTCAGCGTATCGAGATTTATCCTCATTTATCATTGTTCAATTGAGTCGGTTCATTAATTAGACCTGACGTAACATTAGCTTTCTAACGGTCAAACCCTTTATTGCTACATTTTAACGATTTATGAACTGACGAGACTTCCGAGACTCTTACTTAGAGACTTTTGTGACTAGGTAATTAATATCGCCGTAGATAAAAGGCTAAACTATTTCCTTGGAACTCCAATAGCCTTGAGACATCGGCGAGTACTGGCTGGCGCTCTCAAGGCGAGGGACACCGACTTACCGTGTTCGAGGATGTGATCGTCCAGAATAAACTGTACTCCTCAGACGACNACGAGACATGAGATGAGACAAGACATGAGATGAGACAAGACATGAGATGAGACAAGACATGAGATGAGACAAGACATGAGATGAGACATGAGATGAGATGAGACACAAGACAAGACATGAGATGAGATGAGACATGAGATGAGACGAGACATGAGATGAGACAAGACATTAGATGAGACAAGATATAAGATGAGGCAAAAGACATGAGATGAGACAAGACATGAGATGAGATGTGACATGATCATGATGATGATCAGTATTTAATATTATTATCAATATCAATATTTACTAATATTTATTATAATTGGTTAAGAATTGATATTAATAAAAATTAATAATATTATTATTACTAGTAAATTTTATTTGTGTATTATATTTAATTTCATATTTTTA